CCTTCCACAGCCAGCGCGGACCCGGCCCCGGGGAGCCGCTGCGAGCCCTGGACCCCGGCGGGCGCAGCGGGACCCCCGCCTGCCCCTGCCGGGGGTCTTGGGGCAGGGGGGCTGCACCCTCCGGACTCAGAGCCAGGCTGGGCAGCAGGGCCGGCTCCGGCAGCCGACCCGGGGTCCAGACCGGGGCAGGGACGCGCCACGCTCCCGGCCCAGCAGCGTCCCCGGAGACCCCCAGCGCCCCCCGGCCCGCCCCCGCCCCCCGGGCCCGGGTCCCGCACGCCCGAGGGGGCCCGGCCGGGGCGGCCCCGAGGCGGCCGGCGAGGGCCCGGCCGGACCCCGGCCCGGCGGCAGCGGGCGGCGCCGGGTGCCCGGGCCGGGCCGGGCCGCTGCCCCGCGGCCGGTCCCGGTCCGGCCCGGCCCGCCCGCACTTCCGGCCCCGCAGCCCGGCCGGGCCGCGGGCAGCGCGGGGCGCCGGCACTCACCGCGCGGGTGCGGCCCGAACGCCACCAGCACGAAGTAGTCCGCGAGCCGCGCCATGGCGAGCGGCGCGGGGCGGGCTCGGCGGCTCGGGCACCCGAGGGCGGCGCGCTCATGGCCCGGCGCCCGGCCCGGCCCGCGCCCCCCGGCCCGCCGCGGCCCCGGCTCCCGCCGCCATCTTCCCAGCCAGCCGGCCCGCCCGGCCGCGCCGTGCGCCTGCGCCGCCGCGCCCCGCCCACCGGGGGCGGGGCCCGGGGCCGCGCCGCGCGATTGGCCGGGCGGGCGCGGGCGCGGTTCCGGGGGCGGGGCGAAAGCGCGCGGCGCCGGCGCCCGGGCCCCGCCCCCGGGAGAGTGACAGCGACGGCGGCCGGGCCGGGCCAGCGGCGGGCGCGGCCGGGCGGGCGGGCGGGTGGCCTCGCCGGCCCTCTCTGGGTGGCCCCGGCTCCCTCTGGGGCCTGCGCTGGGGCCACCCGGGGTCCGACAGCGCCCACTCCCTGGGCTCAGGGCTCTGGGGGACGCCAAGTGCGCGGCCTCCTGGTAGGGAGTGGCCGCGCGGGATCAGCGTTCAGACGAGTTTGGGGGTCCCTCGGCGTCCCGAGGCCCCTGGGGAGTGCGGGGGCACCGAGCGCCACCGACGGAGGGAGACTCGACTGTTGTGCGCCACCTCGGAGTCATACTCAAGACCTCCAGCTGGAGTCCCGTCCCCGCCGCGGGCACCCTCCCCGCCAGCCGCCCCCTCCCCAAGAGGACCCACACCCGTCAGAGGGGCAGGCTTGTGGGCACAGGGTTTCACCACCAGGACCACCAAAAGCGAACAAATGCAAGTGGGTCTGGGGTCCTGCTCTCCAGCTGGCTCCTCCGTGTTCTGGGGCCATTCTTGACTCCTACACTGTCCCCACCACAGTCCCACCGGCCAGCTCCCCCTGGCCTTGCACCAGGGATGCAGAGTGGCCACAGGCCCTCATGACCCAGTTCTAGGGGAGACACCCCCGGGGCCAGCCCCGACGTGTGGGCGTTTTCGAACCTCTACAGGGGACCTCGGTCCCACCCTTCACAGAGCTCACAGGGTGCTGGGCCCGCACCCTGCAGCCCCGGCTGCTCCCTCACACCCCACGCCTCCAGCCACTCAGCGCAGGATCCTCCTGCCTCCCGCCCCCCCGCGGCTCACCAGCCTTGCCCCCCACAGACAGACGCAATCCTTCCCTCTTGAGAGCTTCGCCAATCCCTCCCGCCTTCAACACGCAAACAGGACCCTTGTCCAGCCAGTTTCCCTTCTGGCTTTTCTCATCCACCCCGTACATTTTTGTCCACCCCAAGGGAGCCTGAACCACTGGTCCCTCCTGGCCTGAGGCCAATGCACCGAGGGAGACCCTGCTCCACTTTGGGGCATTCTTGCCGTGATTGTTTGTTTGGTTTGGAGGCCGCTGGAGTCAGAAATCAAACCCAGGTCTCCCGCGTACAAAGAGCTAGCTCAGTCCTCTCTCGGCATTTCTTTTATTGTTGTTGTTGGGGACCACACCCAGTGCTGCTCAGGGGTTACTTCTGGCTCTGCATTTAGGAATTACTCCTAGTGGCGTGGCCCACCAGCAGCCCCCAGATGGAGTGAGATGACCTTGGCGCCTGTGGACAGTCAGAGCAAGGAGCGTGAGCTGCATGAGGCAGGAACCATGGACACACCCTGGGGTCTGTTCTAGCCAGGCTCCAGCACACCCGCCCCTGCCCCCCATCCCATGGGCAAAGGAAGCACAGGCTGAGGGTGCAAATTAGGGTGTGGTGGTGTTGGGGAGGGTTTGGGGCCGCACCTAGCAGTGATCAGGGCTCACTCCTGGTTCTGTGTTTGGGGGTCATTTCTGATTCCTGGCAGTGCTCAGCAGACCATGTGTGGTGCCAGGGATTGGTGTTGGCCACATGCAAGGCCAGCGCTCTGCCCCCCAGGAATATCTCTAGTGCAGCTGCTGTGAAGGAGAAGCTTGGTGAATGACCCCCTGCAGACAGGCTCTCGCTGGCCTTCATGATGGCAAGCCACTAAAGCAAGCACACCTGTTCTCTGGGAAGACAGTGCTGGGAGTCCTGTGGGGGACAGAGTGCCGGGAAGTGTGAGGAGCCTGAGAAGATGAGAAGCTGCCGCAGAATTCAGCCACTCTGGGGCCCTCCACCTGCCCCCTGCCTTGCCTGTCCTTGCAGAACTGCCACGTGGGGTGTCCAGCTCTCCCTGCACCCCACTTGTTCCCCAGACGACCACTCTCCAAACTCTCCTGCAGGTCTACCCTCTCCGCTGCTGCAGGCCCCTGAGCATGGAGGCCCAGCCAACACGTCTGCCCGGCTGGTCTGCTAGCTCCCTGTCTGGATAAACTGGAGGGCTGACTCCCCTCACACACCCCGTCCTCTGCCTCCCTGCCCAGCCTAGTGTCTCTCCGAACACCCACTGTCCCCCACCTCCACTAGCCTCTTGATGGCCCGTCCTGCTGGTGGAAACAACAGAAACGTGAGTGCACTTGTCAGCTTATTCATCTGGACCATTCCAGGAGCTCCCTGGCAACAGGCAGGAGGGCCAGTAGGCCAGGGGTCGTTCGGCAAGCTGCTGAGGAAGCAGGATGGGGCAGGAGGACAAGGGTGGGGCCGAGGTGCTCAGAAAAGGCAGCAAGCGCACAGCAGTGCTGGTGTCTTGGTGACGGCGGTCCCCTCCCAGAGGCACAGAGCAGCACTTTCTGCAAACAGGGGTCCGCTCTGCCTGGGGCGGCCCAACACAGGTCTGTGGAGCACTGTGGAGACCTGTATCTACCTCAGCCAGAATTTCCACTTCCCAGGAAGTGACTCAGGGCAAGGCTGTGAGCACGTGCAGAAAGACACGGGCTCCTGATAAGAACTGTCAGCAGGGGACAATGAAGTTGTCCCACGAGTCCTTAGACCACACGTGACCTAAGTACATCTTCTAGGTACATGTACTTGCTGGGCCCTTACACACACACTGCCCAGGGGGGGCCTGCCCAGACCTGCACTGTGAACCATGAAGGGAGGTCTCCCTTTTCACTGTGTCCACTATATTTCAGTTGCTGGGTGGTAAGTTTCCTACCCACTATACTATCTTTCCAATTTTCAGGGGGTTGAGGCTTTTATTTTTTTGAGCCCCCTCCCCCCATGATGCTCGGGGTGACTCCTGGTTCTTCACTCAGCGATCACTCCTGATAGTGCTTGGGGGACCATACGGGGTTCTAGGGATGAAACCTTGGTCGGTCACATGCAAGGCAAATGCTCTACCTGCTGTACTCTCTCCAGTCCTAGACTTGAGATTCTTTTTTTCAGGGACATGGTTACCAGGGGATCTTGCCAACTGAGAACAGGTCCTAGAAATCCCCTTAAAAAACTGAGTGGCCAGGCAGCAAAGCTGCTCCCCTGTGCAGACGTTTGCGGGGGAGGTTATAAATCCGGCCTCGGACACAGCAAAACCTGCTGCTACCCCTGCACCCACTTCTCCACCTAGGAGAAAGGGCTGAATGCGGTTCCAGGACAGTCTCCCCCACCCACACGTTAGGAGGGTCCCAGATTAGAGACCTGCTCATCTCAGCAGAAACGCACCACCCACAAGGGGCTAGAAGCACTGGGCGGGGCCTCCTCTAGCCCCGCCCCAGGGACGGCCCCCCTCCCCACTCTTCCCTCTACCGGGACAGACATCTCCCACCCAGGCTCCTCTCTGACACGCCTCCCAGGCCAGGCCCCATCCCGGCCCCCCTAACCCCGCCTCCCAGGCCACGCCACGCCCCAGGTTCCTCCTAACCCCGCCTCCCAGGCCAGGCCCCGCCCTAGGCTCCTCCTAACCCCGCCTCTTAGGCCACGCCACGCCCCAGGCTCCCCAATCCCGCTTCCTAGGCCAGGCCCCGCCCCAGGCTCCCCCAATCCCTCCTCCCAGGCCAGGCCCCGCCCCAGGCTCCTTCTAACCCCGCCTCCCAGGCAGACCCCGCCCCGCCCGGGAGCCCTTCCCTAACCCCGCCTCCCAGGCCAGGCCCCGCCCCATATTCCCTCTAACCCCGCCTACCAGGCAAGCCCCATCCCAGGAGCCCCCTAACCCCGCCTCTCAGGCAGGCCCCGCCCCGGGTTCCCCTAACCCCTCCTCCCAGGTCAGGCCCCGCCCCGGGTTCCCCTAACCCCTCCTCCCAGGTCAGGCCCCGCCCCGGGTTCCCCTAACCCCTCCTCCCAGGTCAGGCCCCGCCCCGGGTTCCCCTAACCCCTCCTCCCAGGTCAGGCCCCGCCCCGGGTTCCCCTAACCCCTCCTCCCAGGTCAGGCCCCGCCCCGGGTTCCCCTAACCCCTCCTCCCAGGTCAGGCCCCGCCCCGGGTTCCCTTAACCCCTCCTCCCAGGTCAGGCCCCGCCCTAGATTCCCTCTAACCCCGCCTCCCAGGCAGGCCCCGCCCCTCCCGCCGACTACTTAGCGGGGCAGGTGCCGCGTCCGCACAGCAGGTCGCTGCTGACTCGCTTCTCGCCCGGGACCCGTTCCGCCCGGACAGCAGAGCCAGCAGACGCGCGTCCAGGTCCCACCTGCCCGGGTCCCAGCGCGGGGGGCGAACGGTTCCGCCCGGCATGGCCCGGCTCGCCGTCGCGCTCGCTTGCATCAGCCTCCTGTGCCTGCAGCTCCCCGGCACGCTGGCCCGGAGCCGGGCGCGGCCACCCGCCAAGGACAGGTGAGCCTGCCCGGAGCCCCCCCAAGCCCTCCCCCAGTACCCGCTCACGGCAGCTTCCCGCCCCTTCCCCGCCCCCAGCCTACCCTCTAACCCCAGTCCAGCCCCCTGCCTTCAGCAAGCCTGGGGCGGGGGTCCTGCTCTTCACTTGCCCTCCGGGGCACTCCCTCCTCCCACTGGCTGAGCAGCTCCCACCTGTCCACCCTCACAGCGCCCCCCCCAGGGCTGGGGGCCATTGAGGTCTGGGTCTCTTGTCCAGGGAGGTGTGGGAGAGTGAGACGTGGCCACACAACACAGATGGCCGGCACAGGCCCAGTTCTAAAGGGGCACTGGGGGCTGGGAGGAGAGCTCAGAGGTTGGGTCAAGGCTCGGCATGAGGGGCTGGCCCCTGGGCGCTGAGCCAGCAGTGGCCCCCAAATAGATGAAACAGATTGAGGCTCTCTGGTGAGGGTGTGGTTGGAGTCATGCATGCACACAAGTGCGTTCGACAGGGGTGAAGCCCGTGGCTCCAGAGAAATGGTGAAATAAATAATCAAGTCGGGGCCTGGGCTTCCCCTGGCCTCGCTCCAGGCTGTGTGTGGGGGTGGGGGCAGCAGTGCCCTGGCCGTGTGCAGGCGGGTGGGCTCGGACCTGGACAGGCTGGGCCTCAGACTCACTTTCCTGTCTCCCTCCACAGGAAGCCCCCAGCCAGGACCCCTCCCGGAGACCCTCAGCCCCAGCGGCCCGCCCCGCGCCCTGCAGTCGGGAAACCTCGGAAGGCACATCCACATCGGAGTGGCCACCTGACCCCCAGCACCGGACACCCTGCCCGGGGTAGTCCCCACCGTCACCGCCACCACAGCCCCTCGGCCCCCCGCCGTCCCCGAGCCCAGCTCCTGCGGGTGGGCTGTGTGCTGGGCACCTGCCAGGTCCAGAACCTCAGTCACCGTCTGTGGCAGCTCTTCGGGTCGGCCGGCCCTCGGGACTCAGTCCCGGTGGACCCCAGCAGCCCCCATAGCTATGGCTGAGGCACAGCCCTCCCCCCTGCCCAGCCCAGCAGTGCAGACGCAGAAACGCACGTGGCAGGGCCCGGCCCCCCAGAGAGCCCCCCACCAGCCCCAAGCAGCCATGGGCACACAATCCCTCGCCCACGAGTGGACCAGGCACCCACTGGCCTGCCCCTGGTCTGGGGGGATTTCCGAGTGCTGAGCGGAGGCAGGAAGGGGCTTCTGGAGAAGAGGTCTGCTCCAGGGCTGCCTCCGAACCCTATGTCCACTCCGGGCAGCCAGGACCTGCACCCTGACCCGAAGAATCCAGTGTCCTGTGCCCCCACCCCCACCTGAAGCCTGGCGCGATGACCAAGGGCCCTGCCCCAAGCCCCCCGCACCCCCCGCCCTACCCACCGTGCCCTGCCCCAAGCCCCCTGCCCTGCCCACAGGGCCTTGCCCCAAGCCCCCCACCTGCCCCCCCACCCTGGGCAGCATTGCGAGATGAGGCCCCAAGAGCACAGCTCCCGCCCGCTCGGGCTCCACGACCGGCAGGAAGACTCGGAGACTGGGGTGCTGTCGCCGAGGGCTGCGGGAGGGCGGGTAGCCTCCCCCCCCCCCCCCCAGGGCACCGACCCGCGTTCGGACCCGCGTTCTCAGTAAACGCGAGCTCGCCGCGCTGCATCTGTGTGCTGCGTCTCCCGCGCCCGCCAGCAGGGGGCGCCGCCTCCTCTCAGCGCCCCGGGCAGGAGCTCAGGCCCCTGCCCGAGGCGGCGCGCTCCTCCTCTCCCCTGGTCACCTTTCTCCCACCTGCTCCGGAAAGGTCAGGCGGCTCCTGTCCTGCCGGGAGCCACAGGAGGCAATCAGGGGAGGCCGCCTGGAGGAGGCTTGTGGGGGAGCCCGTGGTCAGGGGCCCGGAGGGAGCTGAGCGCCAATGCCCCCAGGCTTGACGGCTGGGGGCCCTGCAGGACAGGAGGGGCTGGAGAGAGGGCGGCGGGGGGTCAAGTCAGGAACTCAGCTGGCCAAGACCTCGCCAGGCTTGCGGAGAGGCGGGGGCAAAGTTCCGGTCCGGGTGAGGGCTGTGTGTTCCCTACGTAGGCTCTCCCCGACATGCACCCCCCGCCCGTGCCCTCCAGCACCTCTGGGTCCCCGGCACCCCCATCCTGAAGTGCTCCTCCCAGAGGGTGCAGGGGCCGTGGCTGGGTGGCCTTGTGGGCGTAGCTCTGCCAGCTCCCTGCCCCGCGGCCTTTCACCCTGACACCCCAGCACCCCTGCCCACCACCTGCCATCACCCCATTCCTCACCTCCAAAGCTTCAGGCAAGCAGCTGCCCCGAGGGTTGGGGGCCGGCGGGTCCTGGGGGAAGGAGGCGCCCGTCTCCACCCCGCAGCTCTGCTTGGAGACCGTCCACGCGTTCCAGGGGCTCGGGCCACCACTCTTCAGGGGAGAGCAGCAAAGGGACAAAAATGCAGGTCTGGCGGATCGTACAGCCGGGAGGGGCTGCCTTCCACGCAGCCCACGGGGTTCGATCCCTGACCCCCACACGGTCCCCCAGGAGTGACCCCTGAGTTCAAGCCGGAGAACCCCTGGGTATGGCGCTAAAACAACCACAAATGTGTCTTTAAATCCCGAGCACTGCCAGAGATTGCTCCCGAACACAGACCCTGATCACCACCGGCTGGGTGTGGCCCCAGAGCCACAACTAAACAGACCTGGCACCTGAGTGAAAGGACGAGAGAGAGCACAGCCAGCCGGGAGGGCACTTACTGGCCTTGCATGCGGCTTGACCCCGGTTGGAGCTCCAACATCCTGAGCGTGCCAGGAGTAATGCCTGAGTGCAGAGCCAGGGGTATTCCTTGAGCACTGCCGGGTGTGATCCAAAACCCAAAATGATAATAATAATAATGGGAATTATTATTTGTTCGTCAATCTTGGAGCGCCCCCAGCAAGCTATCCCACCTGCACGGCAGAGCCTGGCTAGCTACCCGTGGCATTTTCGATATGTCAAAAACAGTAACAATAACAGGTCTCACTCCCCTGACCCCGAAAGAGCCTCCAACACAGCAGCGTTGGAAGGACGAGTAAGGGCAGGCTGCTAAAATCTCAGGGCTGGGACGAATGGAGACATTACTGGCACCTGCTCAAGGAAATCGATGAGCAATGGGACAACAGTGTCACTGTCACTGTTCTCTGTTGTTCATCGACTTCCTCGAGCAGGCCCAGTAACGTCTCCATTGTGACAATTGTTACTGTGTTTGGCACATCAAATACGTCATGGGTAGCTTGCCAGGCTTTGCTGTGTGGGCGAGACACTCTCAGTAGCTTAATAATAATGGGAGAGGGCTCTCCAAGAGGGAAGAGAAATCGAACTTGGGAGGCCATGTTGACCGCTTGCAAGGCAAACGCCCTACCGCTGTGCTATCGCTCCAGCCCAGGACATCAGTGATACAGTGATAATAATAATAATAATATAAAAATGAAAACGAATGCAAACAACCAAATGAGATGGAGACAAGGGGAAACCAGCAAGCGTTTTTGCCTACAGGAAAGGCCAGGGGGCTGGCCTGAGCTGAGCAGGCTGCAGGCTGCACTCTCCCATTCTATAATTATAAATGTTTTTAGGCTGGAGGAAAAAAGGGGGGAGGGGGCGTTGACTCACACCCAGCAGTGCTCAGGGGCTCGTCCTGACTCTGCACTCAGGAATCACTCCTGACAATGCTGGGGGATAGGGATAAAGCCTGGTGTGTGGCATACACCCTACCTGCAGGTGTATCTCTTCAGCCCTGGCCCGGGCCACTCCTGCTGATGTTTGCCCGACAGTGACAGCCTGGTTCTGCCCTGAGGGCACACCAGGGCTTGGCGCATGCAGTGTGTGGCCTCCCAGTAGCTCCACATCTCTGCTCCCAGTTTGCCGTTTATTTTAGTTTTACTTTTACTTTTTTCTGGTGCAGAGGCCCTACACCCATCAATGCTCAGGATTTACTCGTGACTTTGTGCTCAGGGGCTACTCCTGGCAGCACTCGGGGGCCCTCTGTGGTCCAGGCTGGCCACACACAAGGGGAGGGCCTTACACCTCTGCTCTCTCTTTGACCCAGTTTGCCATTTTATTTTTTAAATTTAGTTTGATTTGGGGGTTACACCCAGTGGTATTCAGGGGTAACTCCTGGCTTTGCACTCAGAAAGCTCTCCTGGTGGTCTCAGGGCTCTATCTGGGATGCTGGGATCAAACCCAGGTCGGCCACGTACAAGGCTAATGCATTATCTGCCTTTGTTTTATAATTTGTTTGTTTGGGGGCCACACCTGGCAGTGCTCAGCACTTGCTCCGGGCAGGACTTATGGGGATTGTATTTCGTGGGGATCAAACCTGGTTCCACTGCATACAAGACCGGCACCCTACCTGCTGTGCTCCAGTTTGCCATTTTAAAGGGGGGTCTGATGCCCACTTTTCCGGGGGTCTGCAGGAGCATCTGTGGCAGCGAATGCTCCTGAGTCCACCTGGCACTCTTGGCAGGGCTCCTGCCGCCCCGGGGATTCCAACCTTCCTGATTTGACATGCCCAGTGCCCACCTGCCCCTGTCTGCTGGGCGGGGGGCATGCTGCCGGCCCAGGAGTGACACCTGTGTGTGTGTGTCTGTGTGTGTGCGCGCGTGTGTATGTGGTCTAAGTCATGTGACAGAATGGAGAGAAGGCCAGAGAAAGACCCTCCTGACCAGACCCTTACACCTCTGCTACATCCCTCTGCACATCCCGCCCCCCCGCCACACCCAGAGGGGAAGAATCCTGGGAATTCGGTTCTCTGAGCCCCCTGCCCTCAGTATCTGATCAAAGGCCGGCCCACCTACCCCACAGGTCCAGGCAAGTTGGCCTGAGTGTCTGCCCACTACACATCTCCATGCCCCACAGTCGCTTGTTGGCTGTAGACCCCCAGCAAGCTCTGCTGGGGTGGGCAGGGCTCGGCTCTGGACAGATGTTCCCCGCCCAGCCCCCCAGAGACGGTGCCAGTTCCTTTGGCCTGAGACACGGCTTAGCCGACTGACTGAGCTCCGGGCACGTGCTCTGCATGCAGGAGCCCATGTTTGATCCCTGGTACCGCATGGTTCACCGAGCACCACTGGGAGTGACCCCTGAGCACTGCCCCGTGTAGCCCCCAAACTCAGCAAGCATCTTCCCTATTAATAAGTGCCCACCCTGTATAATCCCAGGGCCTCCGTGTGCACCCCAGGGGTCCGCACCACCCTCTGGGCAGCCTCCGGTAGCCTGGGGAGGTCAGAACCCCAGAGGCCAGAGGGAGCCGGGGACCAGGGGGCAGGGAGTAGGCCACACAGGAGCTGCGTGGTGCTGACACATTAACCTGCTGAGGTCGGGCGCAGGGTGGATGGTCATTCATTAGCAGGAGCCAAGGTCAAGGGGCTGGGAGGCGCCTGCGCTTATGTAAGGGGCGGACCTATATAGGGTCCAGCCCGGCCGTGCCTCCTGCACTCCAGCCGGACCCTGGCAAGATGAAGGTGGCTGTGGTGAGTGACCCAGAACGCCCGGAGGGGCCTCCACTGATCACTGTCCTGGTGGCTGCAGTCCATGGACACTGCCGGCTGACTCCCACCAGCCCTTCCTTCTAGTCCGGGCGCTCTGTCCTCCTGTGACGGCCAGCTGGTCAAAGGCAGACCCGGGCTCCTGGGCCCAGTGCTGGGAGATGGGGGTGCCCAGAGGGTGGGGTTACTGGGAGGAGACGGTGATTGAGATGTGGGTGCCAGGAGGATGGGGTTACCAGAGAAGGTGCCGGAAGGGTGGGGTGACCGGGAGGAGAAGGTGCTGCAGATGGGGGTGCCGGGAGGGTGGGTGCTGTCTGCTCCCACCCACTGCGTCCTGGCTGCACACTGCTTGGGGGCTGGCATGTGGTGGCCATCTCCTCTCAGATCAGGAGCCAGGTGCTGCATACCAGTAGGCCATGAGTTTCTGGCCACCTCCGGCACGGCCTGAACCCCGCTTGCAGCCTGTCCCTGGGAAGTCCTCGTCCCCTTGAGGTGCGGTCACCAAGGTGAAAGTG